CCCTCTGTGTAGCTGGGATTACAGGTGCTTGCCACCACACCCAGCTATTTTGTATTTTTAGTAGAGAAGGGTTTCACTGTGTTGGCCAGGCTGGTCTCGAATTCCTGACCTCCAGTGATTGACCCACCTGGCCTCCCAAAGTGCTAGGATTACAGGGGTGAGCCACTGCATCCAGCTCAGACAAGGGCATTTTAATGTACTTAGCTTTAAGCAGCTTCATCAACCCCCTTCCTCAAACATACACAATTCCTGCACTGGAAAGGCTACAGTGAAATGCCTCGCTTTGTGTTAAATATAAGCACAATTATGAAAACATATAAAGACAGGGAGACAGACAGGGAGACTTCCTGAAGCAATGGGCCCTAATCATTAACCTAATCCAAGTATGCGTCACCAAATATAAGTTGCTAATTATGTTTTTCTGATCATAAAATATACTAAACATCTTTATATCTCACTTTGCTGTGTACGGATTAAGTATCCCTAATCCGAAGATCTGAAATCTGAAATGTTCCAAAATATATAACTTTTTGAGTGCCATGACACCAAAAGTGAAAAATTCCACACTTGATTTCATGTGACCAATTATATTCAAAATGTAGGCACACAAAACACAATTTATTCTGTAACCCCAAGGGGAAAAGACTCACTTGGCTCCTTAAGCTCCAATATTTTTTTTTCTGCACATGCCCAGATTCATCCACACCAGTACACACACAAAGGGTAATAAAATGGCATGTGTGCAGGTTGGATGCACTAACAACAGGTTCCACACAGTGCCTTACAACTCAAGTAAATTTGGCTGGGTCTCACAGGCAGCTGAAGTTTCGAAATTAAAACACATAAATGTGCATAATTATCTGCATTAACAGCTCTCTTGACCTTGACTGTGGGTCGATTTTGGCCAAAATCCAGGGTATATATTTTCTTACCTTCCAATCTGTAGGAGTTCTATGGGCTAGTTGTGTTTCTATACCTGAGGCCACAGCTTCTTGCAAGGCAGCCCTTTCCACACAACTCTCTCCCTTTCCAACCTGCAATAACTCCTCCTCTCTCTTAGGCATTCAGGATAGGAGTGATGAATTTACTATTTATCATTCTGGTTCCTCTATTGTCCATACTGTTGTTATTATTATACCCCACCTTCAACTTTGGAAATTCCCTTTATTAAACTCTACCTCAATTACCCAGTTTGAGTATGTCATCTTTTTCTGTTGGCATCCCAGAGGATGCAAATTCCAAATTAACTGTATCTAAATCTCTGTAGTCATTTTTGAAAAAGATTCATGTGATTGCTATACTTGGTATTGGTTAGGAAGTTTGTTTGCTTTTGTGACAGTGTGATTTATTTATCTATCTTTTTTTCAGTCTGTTTGAGCTATAATAAAAAAATAGACTGGGTAATGAATAAAAACCAAAAATTTATTTCTCACAGCTCTGGAGTCTAAGAAGTCCAAGATCAAGGTGTTGTCAGATTTGAAGTCAGATAAGGGACCTGTTCCTCATACATGGGACCTTCTAGCTGCAACCTCGCAAGGCCAAAATGGCACAAGCACTCCCTTCAACCTCATTTGGGTTTAGTGCCATGGGATTACTGCCCTTATAAGTGAGTTTGAAAGAAATAGAACCCTCTTGACTTAGTCATTTCCCAAAAGGCCCAAACTCGTAATACAATCACATTAGGTATTAGATTCCAACGTATAAACTTTGGGGGAATACCAACATTTAGACCATGGTACCTTCCTTTTCCATTTAAGTTTTTGGCATAATTTTTAAACACTTTTGCTCCTGGGGAAGAAAGGATACACTGTTTTTGTACTTCCAGCTTTATACTGACATCTTCTGATAACTCAAGAGGAATTGCAGGACTTTCCTATAGAAAAAACTGAATTTAAAGTTAAAAAGAGGTTGGGATAGGACTGTCTGATGGCAGCTTCCAGGATAGCTGCAATAATCCGTGCCTCCTGGTAGTTATGCTCTTGTGTGGTCTTATTTTTAATCAAATTAGAGCTAGATTCTATGACCAAATAAAATAAAAACTGTGTGACTTCTCACTTCTTCTCATAAAAGGCATTGCAGCCTCTCCTGTGTTCTTGGATCATTTGCTCAGGAGTAGATAACTGCCCAGTTGTAAGGATAGTCAGAAGTCCTGTGGAAAGGCCAATCTAGAGAGCAACTAGGGCTTCCAACCAACAAAAAGAACCAACTTGCAAGTCATATAAGTAAATCAATTTGGAAGCAGAAAAGTGCTCAGAGACATAAGTGTCTGCAGCCTCAACTGACAACTGATTGCAATTAATGAGACACTACAAACTAAATATGTTCAATCAAGTCATCCTTGAATCACCAATTCCCAGAAAGTGAGAGACCACTCATTGCTTTAAATCATTGAGCCTTTATTTGAAGTAGCTAACTAAAACAAAGTTGAATAAAAGGATAAATGTATATGGACTTTCATTCTGATTATGAAAGCTATAAATTGTAGAACAAGAGGGGGAAATTTTCAAAGGGCTACTAACTTCACAGGATTCTTACAATTCAAATTCAAAAACTGAGGTGGCTTTATTTCATGTGCAACATAAGTTTGAATTTGTTAAAGTCTAGAGCACTTTTTGGCCAGAGTTTCTGAGCAAGTCTAGGGTCACTGAGGCCTTGCAACATAGAGGACTTTGAAGCATAAGCACAATTTTACTGTGGTATGAGGAAGCAATCGGACACAAATGGGACTGTTGAAGGTAAGAGTTCAGCCACGGAGAAAGTGAAGGGAGAGGAAAAGATGTTTGTGTCCAGTGGATAATTAGAATAAAGCCACAGTCAGAATATATGCAACAATTATTTAACAAATATGATTTAAAATCACATTTAACACATGAATCTTGGTTTTTTCCTTCAATATATATTTTTGTGCTTTCTAAAATTTTTGTTAGCCAATCTCAGAGTAAATGATTGATTTTAAGGTTCTTTATAAAATGGATATATCCTCATAAACATGATATGATTATGATTATATACATCAGCCTTCATCTATCCCTCTAAAGTTTTCTGGAATAAACCAATTAAAATATTGTATCAGGTTGTTATATGCTAGATAAACATGTCAGATTTCTATTTTAGGGAAAAAAGTTATTGCAGATAATTTCCTACTATGCTATAAAGATTAAACAGAAGGAGAACAATCTATGAAAATAGGAGATTTATGAACAGAAACAGCAACTGGCACCCACGTTTGGGATTCAGATGCAAATCAGTTTATTCTTTGCTTTCCAACACTTCCCAATTTCTTTAAAAACCATATTTGAAACTGGGTAGCTACTCTATATGAAGACATCAGTGCTATAAATACAGACAGCGTTGTGTTAGGTAAAGCAATGCCAGAAATTGACAGTACCAACAGATACAACCAGAGCAATTAAGTTTCCATAAACACTTGACTTAATGTTGAATTAACACTCTCCTTTATAAACAGCAGTTTAGCAGGAAATAAATGATAATCATACATTTCCAGTATATAAACCATGCTGGTTTGGTGAAGTAACAGAATTCTTTTCCAGCTTTCTTTTTACAATGTATTTCATTGGAGAAAGTTGCTCAATAATTTGTAAGTTTTAATTCCAAGATCATGTAAAATTATTTAAAGTCAACTAAAGTTAAAGATAACCTATCTTATCTGTAAAAGAGTTTACAGATAAGCTTTTTTATGTTTTTAGTTTAATACTATCTCCCTCAACCAAAAAAATAAATTCTTCTGGCTATAAGTGAGCAATTTTTTAGTAATGTTTAGTTCTCCTTTCCTTCAGACTGTTTTCTGGACATTCATTATATACCTTGGCAAGAGCAGAAAATTCTGTCTTAAGAGTCTCTGATCTTTCTTTTAATTTTTATTTTCTAAACACCAACCCAAAACTAGCACTAAATAATTTATGACTACACACTTCTTGCCTTATTTTCACTCTTTCCTTTTAGATTTTCAAATGACCTTTCTCAAGCAAGACATGAGAAAATATTTTTATTAAATAATAATATATACTTTCTTCCAAAGAACAAAGACTTAATTCATAATTTCAGAAAGATGCCAGTGAGCTATATAGAGGCTTCTATATAAGCAGCCATGACTCACACATACAAACATTTGCCAATTTTTCAGAATAATAAAATGATTCAAAAACATTTGATATATCTAGTTCCAAAGTAAATTTTCTATTCTCATATGTAATTTCTGTCTGTATGATATTTCTTTCTTTTTTTCTATTGTCCTATTTATTTCTAAATGTCCTATTTTATTTCTCATTATGTGACACAAATGACATATGGAATTTTTTGTGTTTTATAATTTAGTGTTCAGTATAACACTGTTCAGTATTTCTAGACCTCTCGAGGTAGTTAGTTGCTTCCACATTGTTTCTGGACAAATTTCTATTAGCATTCTCCCAAACTGCAGATAGTTTTCCTGTTACCCAGGAAGTTCTTAGGAAAGTGGACTATTTAACTTTTCATTCCCAGAACCTCTCCAAGTATATGACACATTATAGAATGGTTACTATAAATGTACTGCACATGCTGTACGCCAGGCACTAAATTGCAAACTCCGTAAGACTGTGTAGTTTACATGTTTCATTATTTTATGTATCCTGGGCATCTAGAAAAGAGCATAAATCATCTTAAGACCTCAATAAATAATTACCAAATGAATTTAACAAAGTTGAGAAATTGCTACCCTTTTCTGGACCAGCAGTCATTTTCCTGTACAGTAACCTTTGTTATCTGATTGTGGCTCTACTGAATCATGCAGCTAATCTTTGCAGCTTGTTCCCAAGGTGAAAGTTTAAAATTGGTGAGGTCCATTGATGATGTTACCTGGGTTACAAACTAGAAATGTCCCCACAATCATGATTTATAATCTTCAGAGACTCTAGATTTGTTCTGATTTTCATGTATTCATGCCTAGTGCCCACTGTAATCCCTTGATCTGTTATAGGCATTTACCTTGTACTGACTGCCTCATTGAACAAATCTCCCCTGTGGACTACCGTTTAAAAGCAAGAGTACTCTGCAAAGGGAAAGGCTGGGTTCTTATCAGGACACAAATTTACAAGCTGCGTGGATTTGGGTAAGTTATATAATCTTTGTCAGATTCGTTATTTGAAAATGAGATTCATAAGTGACTACCCAATAACATTGTTATAATATTAAATAAGCTTACATACAAAACTTTATTCTAATACTATTGTTCGCTAAAAGTAAATGTTAGTTATTTCCATGCTTTTAATAAAGGGATATACAAGCTAAAATATACTATACAAATACAAAGTAATGTTACATGTTGAGTTCATTCTCATTATCTTCTTGAGGAGGGCTTAGAAGAAACATTTTTTCATGTAGGGACAATTACCATGTGGTTATATAGATCTGAAAATGACAAGGGAGGCATTTCTATTTCATAAAATATTGAAAACAATGCCAAAAGAATTAGTCAGTAAAAAGGGGCCATAGTCAAATAAGTATTCATTCTCTTTTATAACTTAACATTTTATTTTGGGGAGTTGCAAGGCAATTAATGGGTAATGGTGATAAAAGATTTGTTTTACAAAGACTGTAAGTCAGCGTCTATCAGAAATAGGGAAGCATGAGGGAGAAACTGAGAACTGAGTGGTGGGTGCAGGGGACAAGATTTTAAGCTGTCCAAACTCCTTTCTGCCGTCTTTCCACCTGCCAGTCTCCAATCTTGCTTCAAGTCTCTAGAGTCTTCATGTTAGATCTTGGACTTGTAAATCACACAACTTTGTGCCCCGCCTGACCTCAACCTTCCTCAACAACTTCCTTTGGACATTTCCTGCTCCCTCGCTCCCTTTCCAGTTTCTATCTCCATCCTATTAATGCTTTGTATTATCTGAATTAGTCTCCCCAAAACTGCTTATGGAAATTCTTACGTTTAGTAGTACACACCAAAGCTACCACCAACTGCCTTCCTCTCATTTTTACAAAGACGTTTTACATATAACACAATGAACCAAGTTGACTATAATGAAAGAAAATCATCAGACAAGAGAATTTGAAAGAAATGTGACTGCACGCTTCAAATAATATCAGATGATTATCAAGCCACTGGAATTTAACTCTTACAAATATGATAGTTTTTACATTTAGATCTGTAAAAATAAGGTGGTACTCACATTTGTGTTTGTTTTTTGTTTGTTTGTTTGTTTGAGACAGAGTCTCGCTCTGTTGCCCAGGCTGGAGTGTAATGGTACTATCTCAGCTCACTGTAACCTCTGCCTCCCAGGTTAAAGCAATCCTCCTGCCTCAGTCCCCCTAGTAGCTGGGATTACAGGAACGTGCCACCATGCCTGGCTAATTTTTGTATTTTTAGTAGAGAGGGGGTTTTGTTATGTTGGCCGGGCTGGTCTTGAACTCATGACTACAGGTGATCCACCTACCTCGGCCTCCCAAAGTGCTGGGATTACAGGAGTGAACCACTGTACTCAGCTGGTACTCACGTTTAAATCTCTGATTCAAGTGAAAATAATTTTTGTTTTAATGGAAGGTAGCAATCAGAATCTGTATGTTTTTATCCATTAGATATTCCACTGACTTCATGATTTTTATAAAAGTGATCATTCTTTCCCCATTCAATTGCATTTGAGATTGTCATCAATCAAGTAACTATGTGAATTTGTTTCTGTATTCCATAATATTCCATGTGTCCATTTATCTGTATTTGTGTTACTAGTACTCTGTCTTCATGACTTCAATACTATAGTGAATTTTAATACTTGGTACTGTAAATCCTAAAACTTTGTTCTCCAATATTTTGCCAATGTTAAATCTATCTTCTAGAAGAAAATACCTTTTATAACTCATTACTTTTGGATAATTAAAATTTCTTAAATAGACTACACACAAACACATGCATAAGCACTAATACAAGAAAATAAAGATTAGCTAGATTTATTTGAATTAGAAACTTTTTTAACAAAGCCTGCAACTAAGATGTTCATAAAATAAGCCATAGGCTAAGGAAATATATTTGTAAAATATTTAACAATTGCCTTATCAAAAACATATAGAGAATTCATACAAACCAATAGAAAAAATACCGTCAACCTAATTATAACAATGGGCAAGACATTCAACAGAGATTACACAAAAGATGGGATCTAAGTGGCTTATAAACACATGAAAAGAAGCTCAATATCTTGTTATTAAACAAATATAAGTTAAAAACTGCAATGAAATAGTATTACACAACATAGATAAAATTGAAAAAAGTTGAGAATACAAATAATAGGTGAGTATATGAAGCTGATGTGAGAATGAATTGATAAAACTCATTTGGAAAACTATTTGACAATACCTACAAAACATGTATTTACTATATGGCCCAATAATTCCACTCTAGGGTATATGTCCAAACATGCACATACACATACACACACACACAGTGAATAACAACAGTGTTTGCTAAAAGACGTACAGATAAAATGTTCATAGAACTTTTATTCATAATAGTTTCAAACTGAAAATAATCAAAATTCTTATAAATAATAGAATGATTAAATGAATTATACTGTATGTATACAGTGGAATATTCTGCAGCTATTAGCAAATACAAACTTCTTCACATGCAACATGGATGAATCTCATAATCATAATAATGAGTAGTGAGAGAGGTTAGACATTAAAAATACATATTCCACTTATTCAAAGTTCTAAAACTGATAAAACTAATCCTAGTTATATCAAGATAGTTTTCTTATTCTTTGGGGCTTCAGACTCAAAGGGGCCCAAAGGACCCTCTTGAGTGTTGGAAATCATCTATATATTGATTTTGGTAGTGGTTACACTAGTATATACATAGTTATAAATTAATCAAACTATATGCTTAAGACTAGCACACAGTGCTATATGTAAGTTGTAATTCATCTTCACTGAGATGAGGAAGATTAAAAATAAGATGTATTTCTTGTAGAACTCATGTCTTAATTGTTTGGTTAAGGCAAGGAAGGGACTGTTCTTCATGTAAGTGCTTTCTGAGAAGGTCATGGTCTAACAATTGAATACTTGAGAGTGCATTCCCCAGGGCATGCCATAGGGCAGTACCCAGTTGTCCTCAGTCTTTTCCCTCATCTTTGATCTTTCCCCTCACAAAATACTAACTTTTATTTTTTTAAGATCTACAAATTTGTCAATAAGAAACACAATCTGAAACTAAAGTGTAAAGAAATACATTTAAATAGTGTATCAAGTGGCTGGTATTATTATCTAAAAATAGTTTAAGAGTATTGACTTAAGATTGTCTTTTGTGCACATGCTAATTGTGTTAAGAAGAAATTGATGCTAAAGCCAACAAAGTGATGATTCTTCTGTAATACTTCTGTTCAGAAGAACTACCTTTACCTGAGTTCAACCAGCTATGTAATTCCTTGGTTGAAATGGACTTGGGCTTAGTACAACCTTTGGGACTTACCTCAGTCTGGATCTACAGGGTCTTTTACTCTGGACCCATTTATATTTCCACACTCACAACCTCTGATCCAGCTCTGAGTCATGCTCTACAATTCTAATCTCTATGTGTGCATCTTTCTTACATCAGTAGGATTTGCTATTTGCCAAATCTTCTGTCTGTTTCCTGCAGTTCCCTTCAGCCCTACCCAATTTTGAGCTATACCTCCTAGAATTATCCCAGGCCCCAAAATCTGTACTATTCTACTTCTGGGACAACAGAGATACCTTCATAATTGCCTATATTCAGTCCTCATTCTAAAATACTTAATTTACTTCTGATATTGAATTATTAACTTCTACTGTCATGTTTTGACTCAGTTCCCCAAGTGACTATTTAGACCTCAAACAAACAAAAATGACCCTTCTGTTTTTTCGTAGTTTCTGGTTCTCTGAGAAGGTATAACTTTGAGTATATACATTTTACCTATTCATTGATCTCAAGCCAAAACTTGGGCTTAAAAATCTAAGGTCCTTTGTTTGCAGTTTCCTTTAGTATAGTTGCCCTAAATGTTGATCAAACAGAATTCTTTGGACATGCCAACATGCTAAGGTAACCATAATCCCAGCTGACACCAATTATCCCATAATCATTTGTAAGAGATTAGGATAAGTTTTCTTCTGGATGCTTTTAATACTTGCTCAGAAAATAAGTTCTCGCATTAAGTCACCTAGATTTAGTATTATATCAAATTTCTTACGCATCTTATATTATACGACAAAGAATTTTTTTCATGTTTTTGACAAAAAAATTTAAATCTCTATGTAAAATTTGCAAATTATATGTATGCGTGTATATATACTTTCTAATAATGTCAATGATAGTATTTTTCAAAGATATTCTATTAGAATTAATTAGAGTCCCTTTATAAAATATAGTATGCCTTCAACTTTGGATTTTGAAGTACAAACCTTTCTGAAAAGAACAACAGCCGTTAACTCTAAAGAATTGTCGCATGTAGTCCTATGAGTTTCATCTGTCTTCAACATGTTAGATTCATTATAAAGAAAACAAAGTTGATTTTCACAGAATGGATTTGGCAATCTTGTAGATAATAGTATAAACTAGATAAAATATTTTAACTTCAGGATCGGTATGACTTTTATTTTAGCACACTGTATTGAATTAATAGGTTGAGTATGCGGTCAGAGTATGAGGTTGTGTCTGTGGCTCCCAATACCTGAAATAGCTAATTGTTGCAACTGTAAAAGAGTAAATTTATTTATTACATATTTCTTAATCAATTATTATGTATTAGATACACTTAGAAGTAAAATTAGATGTATATTATTATTTTTCAAATCCACAGATAGTAATTGATTTTCAGTCCTGAGGCTCAAACTCTGCAATAATTCTTAAAAAAAAAAAAACTTAGTAAAAATGATAAGGGCATTTGTGTCAAAATAGTCACAATAGCATTGCTTAGGAAAAAAATATTAACAGATTTAAAATAAAACTTCAGCCAAAATCACAAGTAACTTACAAATATTTTCAGAATATTTATAATGAATATGTAATAACAATGGAAATTCTGGGAAAAGCAAGATAATATTTTATATAAATTATGTTTTCATATGTAAATTCAACTAAGTATTGGTATTGTATAC